TTTTGCCTCTCTGCAGTATTTGCATCTCTTTCTGTCATTTTGCATTTCTTTAGTTAGTTCTTTATCTTGTCTTTTAATTGTCTGTACTGTTTTGTCTTTCCTGTAGCCACTACAACGAAATGGATGAAATTTGTGACCTCTGGGGGTCTTGACTTTTCAGCTGTTCTTTTCCAAACCTCTGAAAACCTCACCCACCGTTGATGAACCTCACCTATTGCCAGGATGTGTTCTTGTCTTTGATAGATAATTTTGGCAGGGCGATCGCGTGCTCGAGCTTTTCTTTCAGCTCGCATTTGGCTGATCCGGCCTCAGGGACAGCTGGTGCACCAGAACTGCCCACAAGCCAGACCCATCAGCAGACCCAGCTTCATGTCAGCCAACTTCTGTGGGGATAGGGGAGGAAAACACATGGCTCTGAATGGGTGGGTTTGATAGGTCAATAATTTTATACATAAGAGCTTGTTTAAACTATCATTTCACTCAGAGACAGTGTATTCAGTGTACAGTAAATGGGCCCTCTCAGTGGTCTGAGAACAGGCTTACAACATGCTTCCCTTAATTGTAAATCAGGAGAAATGGAGAGAAAAAAAAAACCCCCAAAAGAGGCGTGATGCTTACAATAATCAATCACACATTATCTGTCCACCAACCTCCTGGACAACAGAAAAACAAAAAATCTTATTTATTTATGTGCAGCATCACTGGAACATCTGGTATCTAACATTTATAGCAGATGCAAACATTTCATAAATAGTGTTAAATCAGACGTAAATGTGTTTATTAAATCTACAGTATTTGTCATCCAATTATAATCTTTAATATGAAGACATTTATATTTGTTATCATCTGTGTTATACTATTATGATTGTAAACTATTTATAATTAGACAGCAAATTATGCCATACATAAGTCAACTTAACTGTATATCTGCTATATAACTAGATTATTGTAATAACATGCGTTAAATGACTTACTTTACTGTTCTATAAATGCTAAATAAAAAAGTAAAATATTACCAGACAACATTATTGCTAAAAATATCAAAATATCTTTATATTTTTTAATATTTTTTTTTCAGAGGTGAGATGTTTTACTTAAAAATATTTTTATATTTGTTAAATTTTTCTTGTTCTTTTCTTTCTGTTTTGTGTTGAGATATTAATGTAGTAAAAGTTAAGATTTATCTAAAATCAATTAGCAAAAACATTTTCATCACGAAAATAAATCCTGAAAGGATGAATAAGAACCAAATTACCTTTTTTTAATTTTAATTTATTTTTTTTTTTTGTTTTTTGTTTTGAAGCTTTGAAGTTTTTTCTCAGGAGATTTTGTTCGTGTGCATTAAATTTTCTTGGCAGGAACACCCTGAATTACTTAATTTTGTTGTTTTAATTGCTGAAATTGAAGGTCTTATTTTACCCCTTTTACAAAAATTTCAGAATGAACAATTTGCACATTTTCATTATAGTAGTAATTAATAAGTAATGTCAAATCAACTAAGTCAGGGACACCATCTGCCTTTTGATTAAATCAAAATTAACAACCACTCGCAGTTTTGCTTTGCAAAATGTTTTTTTGATCAATGTATTGTTTCTAATTATCTCTCAATTTTTTTCCTTTCATCATTTTTTCTCAGCAAAAGAGCAAAAATTTAAACATCAAATGTCATTCTTCTGCGATAGAGAATCAACAGCCAATGATCATTATAATATTTAGAATATTATATAATGAAGTAATGATAAGAGATAAAGTAAATGTGTTTCTGACTGCTTCTTCCTCTGAAAAGACTTTGGTCCTGAGTTTGTTGCCTGATGGAAGTTCTGCATCAGAAAATGAGTGATGGTTTATATAACATGAGTCCGACCTGTGGAAGGACCTGTTCCTGCTGCTGTCGTAGTTTTTTTTTCTTTTTGACATAATTTCCTTGACGGAACAGGGAACTAAACAAATTCCAAAAGAGTCTCTGTCGTTGTGAAAACATGGATTGAATTTTCTAATAAACCACAAGACATGAAAAAAAAAAACAGTTCAACCAACATCTGAACGTGACATTTACAGGTTTCATTAGTTTTCCAAATCAAATGGTAGGAAACAATAAAACAATACAGACGCATTCCAGTGTCTAATGCGGAACGTCTTGTAGTGTCTTAAATAATGAATGGTATGTTTGTAGAGTAATAAAACAAGTCAGCATCAGTCAGTGCAGAAATCAGAGAATTTTCACCAACTCTGCAGCTCTACTGAGATTTTTTTTTTAGCTTCTTTAGCTCCTTTGTTTTCGGTTATTGCATCACAGTTCCTGTTTGGTGAGGTTCATCAGCCGTTATCCAGCAGCAGCAGACAGCAGCAGCAGCTGTTCTTGGCAAACGAACTGTTGATAAATGCCAGTGGAGAAGCACACACACAGAGAGAAGAGAGAGACGAGAGAGAGAGAGAGAGAGAGAGAGAGAAGAGCCGCAGAGAGAGAAGCTTGAATCTGCAGCTGAAGAAAACAACACAAGCAAACAGAAAAAAATACAAGCCTACACAACACTGTTTCTGTATTTGTTGTAGCTGTGTTTGCAGCGTGTTTACGATGCTGATTAACTTGTGATCCTTGTGGAGTATTGTGTGGCAATGAAGAAATGCGACTGACAGTTGGCAGTGCCCATTTTTTCAGTCACACTGGGCCAGATGAAGGAGACGAGAACACTAACTAGTAGTCAGGGTTATTTCGTTGTGATCACTAATCAACAAACGCGTACTGATAACATTACCTCCAGGAAGTTTGATCACGGTGAGAAATGAGCTCAGCTTCCTGTCTTAAAACACCTGCTCAAGATTCTTTCAAACCCAAACAAAAATAATCCCACTGTAAAAACAATTAAAAGTAAACTGCACAAATCAATTTAAATACGCTGTTAAAAGCAAATAATTAAAAGCTAATTATAAATCCTCACGCAAATGTAATATATGTGCATATATTAAAGTTACAAATATGAAATATATGTACATATAAAATATAAACATTTTGTATGAAACCTGGTAGAAATTGGAACAATTTCATATATTGACATACGTATACATCTAGCCCATACAAACATATGTATGTATATACATGACTGTATGTGTTGATATTATATATAGTGGATTCCAAAAATCTGAAACGAAGAAAAACATATATAAATGTATAGATTTTTTAACATGTATGTTGTTTTAATAAACTTGCATATAGATTAAATATACTGTTTAATGTTAACACACATGAACACTTAATTTTTACATAGAAAACTACAAACAAACAACATTGTATATATGTGATAATAATACTATATCCCCTTATAGGTGACATGTAGGGCGACACCACTCTCGATATAGGGACATATATGACATATATTACATTTCTGTACGGGAAGCAGTTGCAGACAGGCTCCAGTCACTGGGGCGACTGTGATAGGGGCCAATCGTGACGTAAATACAGGGCGGAAAACAAATTCCAATGCGGATCACGTCTTTCTGCCACGGAGGACCACCCAGCCTGGTTGTTAAGGATACCATGGGGAGCGCCACAGCCATCACCAGTGATAAATCTGAGGGCAGGATGATAGACAGAATCCAAGGGCTTAAGAGTGGAGGCAGCGACATTTCTGTAGATTACATCTCCATAATCCAAGACAGACATGAAAAACTGCCTGAACATCCTGCTTTCTGCTCGATCTGTTCCTTCTGTACAAGCAGCTCTTTCTCTTTTTTACTGCAGTTTACTGGCAAGACTTTCTACATGATACTTAAATATAAGCAAGCAAAATTTTATTTATGCAGCACACTTCATAACACACTTCGGAAGCACAATGTTCTACACAAAGCATGAATTATCTATAGTTTTTTATTTATTTTTTACTTCATTTATTTATTTGGTTTTGGATTGTTTCACCCAGGTGCCGCCCAGGGGAAG